CACACACACACACACACACACACACACACACACACACACACACACACCGCCTCTGCTGTGAGAGATTACCTGTGGGACATAGAACGTTTTAAATGACCTTTGGTTCAGTTGTAGACTTTCGGTTACCATTTTTAAAGTAGGATTGGAAGTGTTGGAAAGCCTCCATCCATGGGGATGGGTCATTGTAGTCTAGGCCACAGATGGTGTTAGCCTTGTTACCAAATTTAACGTCATGATTAGTGACCCAGTTTGTTGCTTTTTGTAGCTCAAGAGAAATGATTAAACAAACTTAGAAAATAGATACCTTTCAGAATAGCAGATTAATTTAGATCAATGGAATAATTAATGTAGCTGAATACATAAGCCAATTAATATTCTGCTATTTTTTTCCCTTCTAAGGAAATTCAGGACACTAATGGAAGTGTGGTCAGGCCGTTTGGAAGTCTCAGCTAAGAAGTGAGGAAACACAATATGGAGGAAATAGCTAGCCCTCCCTTCTTCCCCTCTTGCCCTTCCTAGTGGGTCCTTTTGGGTAGTTCTGAAGTACTAAGTTTGTTCTGAGGGCAGGTGGGTCATGTACTAACTTGGTCAGTCTTTCTACAAACTATATATATAAATAAACATATATGTATATGTATGTAAATGTGTACACACACACACACACACACACACACACACACACACACACACACACACACACGGGATGGTTCACTGAGCATCCCCAACTCGGAGCATTAAAGTATTGCTTTCTCTTGGATGGTCACATGGTCAGATGTGACTGACTTTAAACACTTCCTTTCACACTGAGGGAAGGGAGGATCTCCGTGGATTTACCCCTGACTCTGAGCAAGGTCCCATGCCATGTCTGTCCTCCCACCAGGGAGTCAGGATGGATTTATTTTTATTATTTTTTTAATTTTTTATACATTTGACCCAATTTGTACCAAAGCGATTGCTCTATTTTTGGGATCGGTTTAGAGGCAGCTGAGCAAAGCTTATTTTTCATCTGTAGTAAATACCTTTCATTTAATGTGAATGACAAAGCAAAGGGCAGAAGCCGGCATGGGTTGCAAAGCTGGATGGATAGGGGCTCCGGCAATTCTTTTGGCCTGGGAGCTTGGCGAGACTGTGATGACAAGCCCTTAGACTGAGATGCGGGGCTAGCTTACAGCTGATGCCTCTGCCTGTTTCAGGCCATTTGTAGTGAAATGAATGCTTTTGTTGGCAAGACACGTGCCCATCCCCCCAGGCTCCGGTCTGTGTCTGGTCTGGGTTGTGTGTAAACACACGAAGCTCTGGGGACTTGGGAGACTACCTTGGTGGCAGCAAGTTTTCCCGGAGTTGGACCGTTATTATTATTTTTAAGTGTGAACGCTAGATCTCTGTGCAGCTTTCAGTTGTGGACTTACGGGGCTGAGTGGAGGCTGAAGCCATGGAAACGGTGCAGCTCCCTGGGTTCCCACAGTCACACCCCTCCCAGCAGCAGCGTTTCCTCGGTTCCACATCCCTGCTCTACATCACTTCTTTCCTCTTCTTGCTGGCACCAAGGAGAGACACTCTTTGGCATCGGGTGTCAGAATGGGGGTGATTGCAAGTTGCCATTTTCCTGGGGTGGACCCGCTCTACTCCATCTGTGTTCTGGCCTTCGGTTTCCCTGAAGCAAACTGGTATGGTTGAACAGTGGACGGCCAGGGCAACTGTTCCTGGTCCTCTCCCCAAACCGGCTGCCTCTCACTGCTCTACCATACTCAAACTGTCTGAAAGGCGGATCCCTGTGGACCCGTTCTGAGTACCCTTGCTGTCTGCCCCTAATGTCCGCTTGGAGCCATTGAGGGCAGAGCTTCTCCATGACTCAGCTTCTGTTTTCTCTGTTTAGCAAAGGGCCTTACTCAGACCAGGTCTGATGAAATAAAATTTTAAGCTGGAGAAAAGTTTTACCAAGTCTTTGCCTTCATCTTGCTGAGGGTCATATGTTTGTATTTTTATGGTGTTGATATTTTTGCTCCTTTAAAGTCTTACTATCATTCCCGTCCTCTTCATTCTTCCAACTATCAGATGAATTTCTGGAGCGAACCCAGGGCTTCTCTTGCTCCCATTGCCCACCGAGGAAAGGCCCGACACAGTGGCTTGGGGCCGCTTGGTTTAGCCTGGCCTTTCTTCTTCCATTCTCTGCTCCTTAGCTGTGCCTCTCCTCCAACTGTTCACCCAAAGCTCCCAAGTGCACCCCTCTTTCACATGCCCATTGCCTATCTTTTTCTTGTACTGTTTTCTTCCCCTGAGATAACTCCATGTAGCTGCTTAAAAACCTCAAACATAGGCCTCCTGTATGATACCTTTTCTGACCTGAATCTGAAGAGTTGAGGAATTCCTCTCGTGACCCTGAACATTTTGTTTTATTCAGTGACCAGCTTCTGGCTCCTTTCCCTGTGCTTGGCACAGCAGTGCCTAGTTAGATGGTCAGTGAGTCAACATTTAGGATGGCAAGTGCCTCACCCTGTCCTTTTTCTGAGCCACGCTGAGGGGTTTCTTGGGAGTCAGGTCTTCAGGAGCTCAGAGCTTGGGTTCGGAGACATTTAGAGCTCTGTTTCCATGGCTCCTAGTAGCTGAGAGTGGTGGGCCCCCTCTGGGGAGCTTTGCTGGAGTGTGGCCGCTTGTCGGTGGGACTGGTATAGCACAGTGGTCATGATCCTGTGGGATGAGGTGCCATGATCGTGCCCTCCCTGGCCTCTTGTGGACTGCGTCAATTGGACAAGCTCACTGTATCTCCATATGGCTTAGCCTCTCCCCACTTTGCAGAGTAGGGTGAGGTGGAATACAGCAGCAGAAGTCACCTAGCCTGGTTCCCGGGCTTGGCAAGTAGGCTGGGTGTTAGTTCTGCATTCACCTGCCATGTCTTTGGTCTGTTGTTTCCACTGGAGCTGCACTTCTTTGTCCGTATGTCTAGCTCTTAGCTGTTCTTCCAGGATAGCTCAAGCACTTCCTCCTTTGTCCAGCCTTCTCTGACCCTGGAGTACTCACTCCCTGTCTCCTACCCTTCTTGCCCAAGTACACACTTGCTTCCTCACTGGACTCTGCTTGGCATGGTACAATTTCTCTATTTGCAGACACTGCCTTTTTTCCTACTTTGTTCAGTAGCTGTTATAGAAAGGAGCTTGCGTTCACTTCAGTATTGGGAGCACGCAGCTGGCCATTTGGTTGATTAGGTCTAATAGACCTTGCATGAAATCATAGTAGGAGTTCATAGAGGCCAAGAATGTGGTCTGATTCGACGCTGTAGCTTTGTGGACTTAGCTCTGCACCTGACACATAGTAGGCACACCAGGAAATGCATGTCAAATGACTGAGTAAATAAGTGAGTGAGTACATGAGGACTCCATGTATGTCCTTATAGACCATTAGTTAATTTTCAACAATTGGCTAATGATTAATGTGCTGCTGACTTCTTGTCAAGTATTAATGAGATTACAGGAAAC